ATCAATTACTCTTTATAATACTCATGGTGAACTTTATTGGCCACTTAACCGTGAGCGGTAGATATCACTTTAATTTGCACTTCGAAGTGGTACAAAATTCAATAAAGGGATAAAATAGGTTTAGTCAGAAAAATACGACACCTATGAGGACGTACGAAACACATATTCACATAATCACTGCTCCACAAAAGACGACTTTTATGAGGTAACACAAAACAAATGTTCATATGCCCAAAAGAGAGACCTCCGCTATGAAGACACAAAATACATATATTCATATAATCACAACTCTTCAACAAGCAAAATAACCTGTACGAGAACACAGAATACAATCGCTAAGAAAAGACGCAATATGGGTATTCAATAATCACAGATCCTTTTTTTTATTTGTAGCATAATAAATCGTCCATAAAGTGTGACTATGAAGTTGATGTTGATCTTTATCCTGCTGCCAATGGCTGCCATGGCAGAGATCATGGACACGGGTTGCGAAAGTTCGAAGGCATGTTTCATGAAACCAGACGGGTGCACATTAGGCACTGATTGTACATATTTTATGTCATACGCCGACAATGGTGTAGATGGTGTAGACTTCGAAATATGGGCTGATTTGTCTTCTACTGGCGGTGTTGGATGGGCTGCTGTGGGAATCTCGACTGACACAGTTATGGTAAGACAATACTTATTACCAGAATTCTACTACCCGTATGCGCCTCTCTTTAAAATAATAGTCAAACCCATTCCTACCCATTATGTAAACCTCTCCTCATTACAACCAAACAAACAATTTTCCGCCTTAGACGTAGAGATTCCACTACCCAATAATTTCTTAAATTACCAGTATCTGCTTATATGTAACTCTCTATATCACTCTGTCCAATAGCTTCTAAAGTTACCGGTACCTGGTTGTATATATACCTCTACCTGATTACCAGCACCTATCTTTTCTAGATGAAACGTGCCAATACCTATTTTGAAATTTTCTGTTGAAAATTATCGCTCTATTTCATTGTTGCCATTTTGTTCGAGAATATCTGCCTGTTATTTTGCATTATTTCATATAATCATATCAGCCCCCATTTCACTGACGCTCAACATAGATCCTGCAGCACGAATCTACCAGTTTACACCATTTTCCTATCACCTTATTGTATTTTTTATGTAAAATCTATTCTTGAGTAGAGCTCTGTGTTTTGGGCGTCACATCAAATAAAGCTTTCTGGCAAGATCGAACGTGTGTAATTTAAATTTGAAAGCTGCACGTTCATTGTTGTGCAACTTATGTGATTTACTGCACACCTTTCAATATACCTCTTTAATCTAACAAAAGAATCATCTTTGATATGAGCTTCCTGCTTATTTACATGGACGACAATTCATATTTTTGTCAATACACAATATGAAGCAAACTAGCGTGTGTTTATGGTTACCCAGGGTAATGAGTGAATGAGTAACCCTGGTGAGCATTTAAATATTTAAATATATGTTGTCAATTTCATACAAAGGTTTCTATCTTCACAGGGAGACGATGGTGTTCTTATGTGTCGTAACCCTGACAATGACAATGCAGCGGATGTCACTAATTCCGTCAACGTTGGAGAATTGAACTCAATAACAGATACGGTGAGCACTACATAGGGGTGCATTTAAGTATTTCATCTAGTTGTGAGTGAGCAGTTAACAAACTTTGTCTTTCCTAAATTAAAATCATTTCAATGTAACGACTTAGATTCTATCTTCTTATAATGCATATCACACACACTTATTGATAAATTCCACTAAAGAAAAAAATCCCATCATTTTAAACTAAAGTAATACACTTATATGACAGCAGAACATTTTCTCAATATTTATGAGAAAAACTGTTGAACACAGAATGACGATTAAATATTTTGACTTTTAGTTTTAATACTTAGTCTTCAACTTGTTCTGAAGACAATTTAAACACAATTCCTGACATTTTAATTCATGAGTAGGATTCTACCGTACGTTGTTTGATAGAAAAAATAATTTATGCATCTTTTATTTATTTTAACTGTTTACAACTGACTAAGTGTTCTTAATCTCTACATGTCTGCTCGTTTCAAAATGTTCGCCGTTCAATGTGATTAGATTACTAAATCATAAAGCTAGGACTCTACATGTCATGGAACAGTTCTAAACAGAAAAGCGGAATAGGAAATACTTGATTTGATAAGTTGTGAGATCAATGTTGGATTAAATGTAAAAACAATTATATTATATCGCTATTACACATATTTGTATCTTTTTTTGTCAAGTTATAAATAACTGTAATTTCAATATGGGAACAGTACGGAATGACCCCCCCCCCCCTCAATAAAAAAAACGTCGTCAATGATACGTCGTACAGCGATGATTAGTTTAATTGTTTTGTTGTAGAGCGGCATAAGCAACGCATCTGTTAGCGTAGTGAGCCAAATGATGGAGTGCACCTTCACAAGTGTCTATACTATAGATGGAGAGACTACGAACTTTGATCTAGGAGGCGCTACATCATATTACCTCTTTATGGGTACCGGTGATATTACTTCAGGTAAGAAAAAGCCAAGCCAATAATTTGTATCATGACAACCAAACCACTTTCAATTTATCAGAAGCGATTATCTAATTGTTTTTTAACTTTCGATGTTGTACCTAAAACGAGATCACTGTAAACGCAATTAAATGTATATATTCAAGTTGTACGCTCGCTACTATTTTGAGCCTTACAGACTTGTCAAGTGGTAAAAAATGAAGCAGTTACTACGTTTGAAAGATATCCGTGTCAACGTTCTCTCGCCGATAAGAGCCGAAAATTGCCGAGCATTTCCGTACTTTGAACATCTTAGGGTGTCAAAGCGCACGCATGATTGTCTGATCAGCGATTTAGAAAATTAACTACACCATACATCATTATTACATTTAAGGAAACATTGAATTGTGTGGTTAGTTGAGTTCGGTGTCATAGAAACAGCAAAATATGAGAGATGTATTGTAGTTAAAGATGTCAGGTTTCGATCAGTGAGACTTATAAAACATCGTTTTTTTATCAAGTTACTTTAAAATTGACATGGCACTCGACAACATCACGCCGACAATGCAACTTTGATAAGTTAAACAATTTCCAGATTATATAAATGATAACATGGGAGGAAATCTTCCTCTTCGAATACAGTTTAATTTGGTACTTTGAAACAATTTATGTGTGAAAAATGTCACATGTAAGTTATTATCGAATACAGTTTTTCTATGTCTGAACCCAACTGAATTACTGTTTGGTACATCAACGATGTTCAGTAGTGTCTGGTACATCAAAGATCATGCTCATTACCGTCTAGCTTTATTATTAAAATATACACCACGCATTATTTAGCACAGAATTAGTAGTCATCGACATAAAATGTTGCAAAAGATTGAATTATACTTGATTAATTGTGAAAATTGCGGAATACGTTACGTAACATTCTGGATGCATTATTATTTGCTACTCGAATTCGATGAAAATCACATGAAATCTGACTATAAATGAAAAATTGGCCAATAATTTCAATCTTTATACATGTAAAACACAAACCCTAACAAGATTTTCTCGACATGGATGTATCATAGTCAGAAATCGGGTCGCTTGTTTAACCGTCAACGTATTTATCAACAACTAAATAATGCAATGCAAAGATTCAATCCACGCCGATGGCATTTGGTTTTAATAACAATAGGTTCATTGTATTATTATTGATTGGAAATGAATACGACCTTTCTACTCATATCCAGGCGTGGAGCTCGAACACAGTGTCATTCCCTGGGTATCCAGTGAGGTAGTTGACATCGGCAGTGTAAACAATTTGATTGCTACCGAGGGCGAATCTGATTCCCATGTCGATGATGGCGCCACAACTTCGATACCAGGTAAGTAACACATTCATTCATCATAATGCCATGAAATGTTTCATCGACAAAACGTCATATTATTTACTGTCACACAAAACTTTTAGCGTGAATGAGACTGGGCTTCAAGTCAGCATTATTATAATGGGAAGCAAGTAGAAAATTAAATCTAATTTGATATATAAATTGTCTTGTAATTATTAACATATGTACTTTATTTCATTCACAGCTGTAACATTGGTTCTTGCTGTATGCAGTCTTGTGATGGCGCTGTTTCACTAATTCCTCAAAGGAGACCACATACTGGCTACTCGTTCCGAACACAATAGTATACCATTCTCTGCACGAATGCTGTCTTTAGATTGCCTACTCTGTCTTTGTTAACTGTTACCACATGATACAATATAGTAATTCGACATACAACTCATATAAGTGCTCGTCGCTGACAAAAAACTTATAATGTACTTGTCTTAGAATAATGTGTCGGTCATATAACCATAAACAAACTCTTTTTTATGAGCTGTTCAATAATTCCATATGCGAACGCTTTTCGGATAACACAGGGAGTTGGAGTAAATTATGTGAATTGTTAGTAGTAAATCTGAAAAATTAAATTGTACCAGTCTTATCTTTTCTACTCATGGATATATTTCACGATTGTTTAATTGGGATTAGAAGTTGCGTAATGTCAACAATTGTAAACCGATGACGTAATGAATGTACCACCGCAAAGATCGCTTACATGAGTTCAGTTACATGAAATGAAGTAAAAAGTATGATTTTTTTTATTCCAACTCCCTGTGCATTTTCCGTACTTTCTATGTGTATATAATCATTAGCAAAATATTTTACAATCTTTTTATTTTCATAAAAAGATAATATGACCCATAATGCACCACGAGATATGGTCATCTTGGCGAAGACATTGCGTCAGACATTTGAAGATTGTCAGATTTGAATATTTGTCTAATGTGTAAATATTTGGGTTAATATTTTGTATAACACGTATTTTTGAAGGCATCGCCAGGAAAAACAGGGTATTCGTTGAAATATAAGTACGTGATATAATTTTCACGCTATAGGTAGATATTGTCGATATTTACGATATTGTTTTCATCACATCCATCATGTCGGAACAGTCATGTTCATGCATATCCTTAAATTTCATTATTACAGTATACTATGATGCGATAGCTCGATATGTGAATATATTACAATAATAGCTGTAAATTCTTCTGCATTTTGTATCAGTTTTTCGTCATTTTCTACAATAAATCAACATTTTTTAGGGAAAAAAAAACAATCAATGTGTCGTTTTTATAAATAACATCAGAAGTTTGTTACGATCAAGGAAGTCCATGTTGAAGAGGCACTACTAGTGTATGGTAATACGCATGAATTCAGTACGTATAATGAGTAGTGATACACGCATATCTTTGTGAGTGAAGCATCTGACTATTGGATAAATGATGTGAGAAAACCGAGCATCACGATATACCACGACGATGTGCCGAATACTGCCGACGACACTTCTTCCTTTGTGAAATGAAATGTTCCAAGAACAGCGTAATGATCTGATAAATCAGTTATGGTTTTATTTTCACCACATTCGTCATCATAAGGAAAGCGATATCCTGCGAAAAGATCAGTTCCATCCATGCATACAGGAAAAGCGTCACTGTCGGTGTACTTCACAGCTTCTTGTGACGACTTCGTTGGAATGAGATGCGCAAAGCTATATAAAACGTAGTCATTCCATTTCGACGTGCCAGTGCTAGGGGCGTTTATGTCATTGTTCACTCTGTCTATAGTAAACTTAATTTCTCCATGTATATCCGGAACCTCTGCTTCTAAAATAGCCAGAAGATCTGTCAACTCGTCTTCCCTCTCGTACAAATCAGTGCTAAAGTCTCCAGTATAAATTACTGGTTCGGAAAATGGGATACTTTGATTGATCATTAAGTTATGCATTTGCTGGACTTGCTTTCGTCTTACTTCGATGCCGCCATCATCTCGCTTCCCGGACTGTAGTTGAGTACCTAGCACGTGGTAGATCGCTGTCACACCGTCTACCGATTTCTCAATCTTTGCATAGATGGCCCCTTTAGCAGATAACATATCTTCTGAGGCGAACACGCGATCCTCGTATACCGTTTCTTCCCATTTTACAATCGGCCACCGCGAGGCAATAAAGACTCCACCATTTTCTGGCTGCGGGATAATAGGGGTGAAGTCACCCACCGTATCTGTGAAATACTTAAACCCATAGGAATCGAGAATTTGTCGAAAAGAAGCCCCATTTGTTGGAAAGCAGCCTCCAATAAATGCTTCATTGAACGAAATCACATCGACATCAGCGTGCTCACGGAATACTTCAGTCAGCATTCTACAAGTTCGTTCTCGCTGTCCGCTTTGGTAATACAAATACGCCAGTTCCCATACGTTATACGTTAATACCTTGAATTCATCAACTGGTGTTGACGATGATATACTTAATTGGGGTACAGCACATCGCACGTTTTTACCAGTATCAGTTTTGAAATGGCAATGGTCCCATATTTCGTAGTCCGCAGAACAAAGGTATTCCAAACCAAACATGTCACAGTACGCAGGAGTCAGTTCGCACTCGAGGGTGGCTCGACCTGAGAGCAATAATAACGCAAATAAATAAACGAAAATAATTACACAATTTATATCGCGACACACAGTATAAGTGTACTGTATGATGCACATTATATACACAAAATGATTTCTTACAGAAACAACGCCACTCATTCGTGAATATTCTATGGTAGATACACTTACCCAACCATACACTTGGTCTATCGTCATAGCACGCGTCTGTAAGATAACAAGAACATTTCAATGACGCATAAGGTGACATGCCTGCCACAGACATGCATTGGATGTTAATTGGCTGGTTCACGTGACTGAATGAACAAATGAAAGCCAAATTGTGTCTCTCCATCAACGCAAATATTTCCATCACTTTAAGAAGCATATTGAACTGTACAGGTATGATATAGAAAGGGCCACTGCGTTGCATACTTTTCAACAGCATCTAATGACATGTTAAAAGTTAAATGTCGCGTAATTGTGATCTTTAAAGTAACCGGGGTAGAGTTGTTAGAATAGTTGTGGTTTTTTTACGATTGCTCTCAGTTTCTAACAATAATGACGTAACTATAAACATCATTCATAGATTGTGTGATAATGATTTGGCACGTGAAGAAATTAACTTATCTAATCTGAGCATAACATTTATTAAACAATCACGGTATTTAGAGTACTTCATTTACCTGGTAAAGGTGATGGTGTCGGGTTCAATGTTGGTTGTCCAGGGTCTGTAAAATCGAAACGTCCTAATACGGCATAGTGATCTGACAGGTCAGTTATTGGCCACGACTCTCTGCAGAGTAATTCGTAGGGATACACGTGTCTAGACGTCAACACTGGGATACTACTCATGCATACTTCAAATGGTTCACTGTCTGTGTACTTAATAGACTGCTGACTGGCGTTGTTAGGGAGGAGATGCTGGTTGCTATAAATGACGTAATCAATCCACTTAGACCAGCTTGTCGAATTAAGATGGATGACATCATTGTTCTGATTATCATCAGTGATGTTTAAAGGCCCTACGGTGGGAGGCATATCGGCCTCTAGAATTTGTAGGACCTGATCCCATTGGTCAGGTGAAGTGTACATATCAGTATTGAGATCACCGCCATAAATGACAGGCTCGTTCAAGGGTATATTTTGTTTTACCATAAATGAATGCATTTCTTTGGCCTGTAAGGCACGTGCTTCTGCATATTTATCCCCCTCGTGTGCTTGTAAGTGAGTACCAAGGATATGATAGTCCATTGTCTCATCATCAACACTCTTTCGAATTTTTGCATAAGCAGCCCCTCTAGAAGAAAGTGTGTCTGGTGATGAACGCGTTCGATGTTTGTAGATCCACTCTTCTTCTTCAAGGATAGGCCACCGAGAAGAAATGAAGATGCCGCCATTTTCTGGCTGTTTAGAAATGTCTCTTGTATACTCGCCTATTCTCGTCGTGTGGTGGTTGAAGCCATACTGATTTAACATCTGAACTATTGAAATCCCGTCATCGGGGAAGCATCCACCCATGAAAATCTCATTCCAGATTATGACATCAATATCGCCATGGTGACGAAATATCTCTTGGGGGATACGACAGGTGCGCTCTCTTTGACCACTCTGATAATAAAGATAACGTAATTCCCAAATATTATATGCCAAGACATTGAGTGTAGTTGCTGGGGTAGGTTCCCAGATGTTCATGTGTGGTGACGCGCATAGCACATTTCTCGGGTCATCGGAGCCAGGTAAACCTGGACCAGACAAACAATCATCACCATCGTTGTAGTCAGCTTGACAGACAAAATCCAATCCAAACATGGCACAGTAGTCTGGTGTTAAATCACACTCAGATGTCGCATAACCTGAATGTATGTGATACATAACATAATATTAATATAACATACATAGAGGATATCACAATCGTGACGTCATTTTCATTTAGCAAGGAACAAATATAAACGACTACACGTGCTTAAGAAATCTGAATTTATGTAGGTTTACTAATTTGTGTATACCATTTGCAGCTTTCAGAGGTTAAAACACCAAGTACATTAGTTTTTTTTTTAATTAGGAAACATGGTTTTCTCTTGGAGTCATCTCTTTGTTTACATTTTCGGGGATATATTATAAACATAATTGCTAATTTTGAAGTCAAGACCGTCGTCAAAATATAATAAATACAAATACATTGTTTAGGGTTGCGGGTCCCAACAAGCCTCTATCTATTCCACAATTTCAGTTGCCCCTACGTTTATTATAACATGGATCCCTGTGTTTCGTCACCAGGACAACCACAGACAAAAAGGCATACTCAGCTGCAGACTGTCTGTGTACTAATACTATTATGTCTTGGAATATCTACTTACCTAACCATACCTGAGGTCTGTCATCCGTGCAGTTGTCTGAATGATAATACGTAATAATAAATAGGATATTAGAATTGCTATGTAGTTTTAATGCGACAATTTTATTTGTAAATACGTGTTTGAGATAAATCACCATGGACATCCCATTTTCATTTTCCTTTTACTGCGAGATCCCGCGTGATGAGTGACATAGAACGTAAAAATAGGACAAAAAGGTGAAAAGATAAATGCCAGTTTAACATACATCAACTTTACTACAGTGACCTACATACAAACTCTAAAATATAAGATAGTGAGTTAACATAAGATAGCAATGTTTCGAGACGAGATAGGAGCCTATTTCACCTGTAACGTATCATGCTACATACACACCCCACCACCATAGACGAAGACATACATACATACACGTATCAAGAAAATGTGAATTGATATCTCACTGACATTCTGTCAGTGTAAGGCCTGCTTATCGCAATTGAGATACAAACGGTTGAAAAGAGCTGGCTGGACTTTTTTGCTTTTGCAACAGAAACGAACAGTAGCACGCGACCCATAATTAAATGATCTATACCTAAGTACTCTTGTTCTCGTTAGTATGCGTTAGGGGACGCAGTTGGTTTGTGTATATGTCGGTTAAATACATACCTGCCAAACTCGCGTAAACTCGTAGAACAAGATGCCAGAATAGAACCGTGCTATATCTCTTCATTGTGTATTTCAGTGGAATAGGTATAAGTGTGGTGGGGGTCACAGAGACAGGTTGATTGCATTCAATGCGTTAACCAGATACCTAATGTGACATGACTAAGTTAATCATTATAGGTAGATAAGATACACATTTTCACTACAACACAGGAGTTGTACTGACAACACGTTTTGGCGATCGATCGACATATTAACTGTGTATTAACCGTTGTTTAATATTACAGAGAAGGAGCGGGAGAAGGAATGTTTTGTAAACGTGGTGGAATACTTTTATTGGGTGTTATCATTACAAACTTTCAAAGGATTTTATGTTCACATTAAACATATACGAACTTCGACTTTATCAATTTTTAACGATAAATTACATAAAAATAATCCTCATATTATCAACAAACAATGAAAGCATATATAAGTGAAAAATCTGCAGTTAGTGTCATGATGAATAATAAGTTGATTTTTGAAATTGTTGAAGAGATATTATTTACTGTATCTTTCAAACAATTTGGCAAAGGATTTTCCAGACTACTAGTATATTGAAAAATGTCATTGTTACAAATATGTCACTAAGTAACTTTTCTAATGTTCCTTTAAATCCGTCACTGTACTGTGTCCATGGTTATCGTCTGTTCATGATGCTATTTATATTTTTTCAAACATGTTCAAAACTCCCAATTAATGTCAAAAAAACTGTGAAAACCATACTACAGGTACTGCAACGATGATTCATTGTCGTTCCGTGGGGATACACACTAAAACACATATTTGATCATGATTAACTTATATTTAACCGCTTTGTGAAACGCCTTCATCAGATAATGAATGGTACTTACAATGGGTTCTAAATCGCAACCTTCCACAACCTCATGTATTTGTTATGACAGTTATGGTTAACCACAATTGCATGTGCACTACTGTGAAAGACACCAGTCGCCTTCTGACAAGTGAAATGTAACGAGAATAGTGCATATTGATATGGAAAATCAGTTATGTTTTATTTTCACCACATTCGTCATCATAAGTGAAACGACAAGTTCCATCCATAAATACGGAAACAGAATCACTGTCGGTGTACTTTACATTTTCATGTGATGACTTTGTTGGAATGAGATACGCGTAGCGTAGCTGACACGCTCGATGCCGGATTTTTTTTTTGCTCTCTTTGTCGCCATCATCTCGCTATTGAGATTATAAGCACAGATAACAGGCCCGCACAGAGGCACATTTTGTGTTTTAATGAATGAACGAACGAACAAATGAATGAATGAATGGATTAATGAATGAATATATGAAGGAATGAATGTATGAATGTGTGTGAATCCCCTCTTTTTCGTCTCTGATAAACCACAGTTGAGATGATGTGTCGACGTCGCCATTTCCTGGTTGCATA